GGTGGCAGTGGTTAGCCCAGGTTTGCCGGTGTGCTCCAGAAAGGGGGCTGGACAGATTTTGGCAGCCCTGGGGAGGCATCCAAAGCCTGGTTTTAATCAGGTGCAGTGAGGCAGGCAGCTGGGCACCAGAGCACCCCAGACTGGCCTGCCATACAGTTAACATCAGAATTTTGTATTTTAGCTTTTGTGTGTAGGCCCCAGCTTAGCATGAGTTTCAGAGTCATGCCACGCTCCTGCACGATGGCCACGCTCCTGCACGATGGCCTTGGGAAGTCACTTCCCCCTCCCTGGACCTCAGCCACTCATCTGTAGGGACCAGCACAGGGCTCATCTCGCAGAGGCCGGAGTGGAGCTGCAAAGTGCTGGCAGATGCTTCTTTCGCAGGGGCCAGCAAAGGCTAGCTTGGGCTTGGAGGAAACCAGTTTCTTCCAAAGGTCTGTGATGGAAAAGGGAAAGCAGGTAGCTTGGGCCGTCAGTCCTTCCCAGCCTTGTTCACCTCCTGCTTGCCTCAACTTGAGGTTGCTATGTTTCTATTTAAGAGAAGGCTGCCTCCAGGGATAGCCTCTCCTTTTGTGTCTTCGGAGTTATAATTATGGCCTCTTGTCACTCCCATAGCCATGCCCATTCCTCGCAGATAATTCTTGTCCCTTGTGGGGGATCTCTGGGAGCCAAACTGACACTGGTCCTCAGGCCATAACCCCTTGTCCAGGCTTCAGCCTTCTTGGCTTCAGCGCGTTTTAACTAGCTGAGTCCTCTCAGCCCAGATTCACTGCTTTGGATTCAGGGCTCCTGGGCCCCAGCACAACATGAAAGCTGGTCACACAAGCACAGAGTACCCCACCACCCTGCTCCATGGCCTCTGGTCCTGCTCTACAGGCTCCACCTGGTCTTCTGGTCTCAAACTCAAAGACATGGAATAAAACCCAAAGGGTTAATTAACCCACCACTTACAACTCAGGTCACAGCCCCTCAAGGACATAACAGTTGTCACCATCACAGTCATAAGGAACTGTCTTGACTGTCCACTCCTCCACCTCAGGCTACCTGCTTGTCCCTGTCCATCTGCTCTGTCTTGTGCTCCTTTCCCTGCCACCTGCACCCATGACCTGCCAGCCCCAGCTCTGAGCCTGGGCTGGTACGTAGGCCAGCCCTATCCCTTCCACTCGCCTGACCGCTGCCCCTGGAGACGGGCCCAGGGGCTCCTGCTCAGCCTCATGAACTCCTTGCCTTTTCTTGTCCCACAGCCCTTCCCTGCTGGATCTGGAGGATAAGCAGCAGTGATGGAAAGGCGAGGAGCAGGCGCAAAGACTATGGGGAGCAGATGCCAGGAGGTGCAGGCATGGGAGGGCATGTAGTGAGGAGGTAGGTGCTGGAGTGTGCTGGTAGCAGAGGGGGCAAGTGCTGGGGGAAACAGGCAGCAGGGTACAAGGTATGGGAGTGTGCAGAGGTCATGTTCCTTGACTCCCACTGCCTCCCTCCCCAGTGCCTGCTCTCCTGCCACTGCTTTCCCCATTGCAGTGGTGATGGGAGACAAATTTAAGACAGGCTTCCAATAATTATACTCTGTACATAGAATAATAGAAAATTAGGGTTGGAAGGGACCTCAGGAGGACATTTAGTCCAACCCTCTGCTCAAAGCAGGACCATCCCCAACTAGATCATCCCAGCCAAAGCTTTGTTTAGCCAGTTCTTGAAAACCTCCAAGGATGGAGAGTCCTGAGTCTCTCTGGGTAACCTGTTCATGTTTTACTACCTTCCTCATGAGAAAATTCTTCCTAATATCTAACCTCAACTTCCCTTGCTGCAACTTGAGATTGTTGCTCCTTGTTCTGTCATCTGCCACCACTGAGAATAGTCCAGCTTCATCCTCTTTCAACCCACCCTTCAGGTAGTTGACTGCTATTAAATCCGCCCTGTCTTCTCTTCCCTTCACTAAATAAGCCCAGTTACCTCAGCTTGTCCTGAAATGTCATGTGCCCTAGCCTCTTCATATTTTTCTTGCCCTTCACTAGACTCTCTCCAATTTGTCTCTGAGTCCAGTGATGTAGCCAGTTTTCTATCCACCGTACAGACCATTCATCCAGCCCATACCTCCTTAGCTTGCCTGCAAGGATGTTGTGTGAGACCACATCAAACGCCTTGCTAAAATCAAGGTACACCACATCCACTAGTCTTCTTACATCCACAGAACCAGTCTGTAGTTTCCTGGATTCTCCTTTTGCCCTTTCTTAAATATGAGCACCATATTTGCCCTTTTTCAATCATCCACAACCTTTCCCCATCTCCATGAGTTTTCAAAGATGATGGCCCAGAGGCTCTGCAGTCACACCAGCCAACACCCTTAGCACCTTCAGATGCATCCCTGTTTGGCTCCACTGACTTGTCTTTGTCCAGCTTTTCTAAGTAGTCCCTAACCTGTTATTTCACTACTGTTGGCTGCTCACCTCCTCCCAAACTGTACTCCCAAGTGCAGTAGTCTGGGAGCTGACCTTGCCTGTGAAGACTGAGGCAAAAAAGGCATTGAGTATTTCAGCCTTTTCTCCATCCTCTGTCACTAGGTTGCCTACCCCCATTCCCTAAGGGACCCACACTTTCCCCAGTTTTCCTCGTTACCAAAATACTTGTAGACACCCTTCTTGTTACTCTTCACATCCCTTGCTAGCTGCAACTCCAACTGCGCTTTGGCTTTCCTGACTTCATCCCTGCACGCCCAAGCAATGTTCTTATACTCCTCCCTATTTGATTGTCCAAGTTTCCACTTCTTATAAGCTTCCTTTTTGTGATTTTAGTTTACAGGAGTTCCCTGCTAAGCTAAGCTGCTCTTCTGCCATACTTGCTAGTCTTCCTGAACATGGTTTGTTCCTGAACCGTTGGCAAGGTTTCTTTACAAGTACAGCCAACTCTTCTGGACTCCTCTCCCACTCAGACTGGCTTCCCAGGAGATCCTGCCCATCAGTTCCCTCAATAAGCTGAAGTCTGCTTTTCTGAAGTCCAGGGTCCTTACTCTGCTGCTCTCCATCCTTCCTTTCCTTAGGATCCTGAACTCAATTGTCTCGTGGTCTCATGCTGCCCAACTTGCAATCCATTATGCTACATTCCCACCAATTCTTCCATTTGTGAGCAGCAGGTCAAGAAAAGCATGGCCCCTAGTTGGCTACTCCAACACTTGCAGCAGGAAGTTGTCCCCAGTACTCTCCAAAAACTTCCTGGATTGCCTGCGCACTGCTGTATTCACTCCCAGCAGGTGTCAGGGTGATTAAAGTCCCCCATGAGAACCAGGGCAGGAAACTTCTGTAATAATGGGCAGAGCAGCTATTCTTGTGCTTCTGGTGGGGCTTTGCAGGGACCAGGGCTACCTGCCTTGTCCCCCACCACCCCTGGGACATTCCCAATGTACCTTGAACAGTCCTAGAGTCCTCCGGGTGCTCAAAGGGTGGAAGTTGGTGCCCATGCTTGAGCCGTCCCAGCAAGATGCATGCAGGGCTGTCTAACCCCTTGCCACGAGGGCAGGCCAGGGGCAACCAGGGCCCCTGCCGTCATTTCTCATGGCGGGGGGGCAGCAGAGACAGGAGAGCTGTGAGATATTGGGGTCCCTGCGACCCCAGGAACAACATGATACAGGTCTTCGAGCCGGGACTAGGCAGAAACCTGCCCTCTGGAGTACTTGCTGGTTAGAAGAGGTATTTTTGGGTGCACGCGCTGGTTTGCCCCTTCAAGAAGAACCCCCCCCCCCCCCGACGGCCTCTGCGCTATAAAGCCTGCTCCCGCGCCCCAGGAAGCCCGCTGGACGCCTGCCCGCAGCCCGGCACCTAGCTTCCCGCAGCGGCGGGGGGGCGGCTGCTCCGCTCCGTGACGTCACGGTGGGGGTGGGGCCTTCGCGCTACCGGTCGCTGTGGTAACCGGGGCCGGCCGGCGCCACTTCCGCGTTCGCCCAGCGCGGTCGCGCAGAGGCTGGTGGGAGTGGAGGCGGTGGCCAATAGGTGAGCGGCTCCTGGTGCGTATCCCCGCGTCTTCCGCGTCCCTCTCGCCCTGCGCTGGAGGCCGCGCTCGCGGGTGAGTGCGGGGCGGGGCGAGGATTTGCGCCCCCAGTGCAGCCGTTGCCGTCCGCGGCCGCCCGCCAGGGGAGCGCGGCCGGGCCTGTC